CAAGGAGAATCTTCTATGGTTTTAAACTGGAGAGGGATGGCATCCGCCAGGGCCAATTACTGAAGATACATTATACATGAATGTATGCATCTTAAGCTTTCAACCCAGATATTTGAAGGGAGCTAGTCAGGTGCTCGGCTGCGCTGCGACCCTAGGACCACATCCGGTCATTGGATTAATAAAGATCATTAAAAACAAAAATTAATTTTCGTCATTTTTTAACATATTTTGCTTTAATATCCCTATCTAACTTTTAAATTTAACTTTGTCTGGCATAACTCTACTGTAGTGGACATAAAGTGAGAGCCAAACTCACGATACTAATTTGTCTGCGATACTAATTTAACAATCCTGACACCATGTTAGGGACCCAAAACCTATTACTTACACGACTTAATATTCTCAATCCGTCACAATTCTAAATATTTACTTTTCCCAATCGGTCACCCATTTAATTACTAACCGGGCTAAATGTTGCTTAACCTCGGTGATCAACTGAATGAATCGATAATCAGATCCTTTAGAATTATCTTCTTTACAGTGAGAAGAGACCGGCTCAGTATCGCACTCACTTTGTTTCATTCTCATGCTATTTACAAAACCTATTTCGGGACGGGGGAATGTTAGATTCATGCCTCATAGATAAGCAGTGTTTAAAAAAAAAACAACAAAACAAAGTAACGTCGCCTGCCCACAATAGAATGATAATTCGGCTCATCTGCCCCGTTCATCTATTTACCCGACCCCTGTTGACGTGTTAAATAACTGAGACACAAGTACCAGCCCTTCGTCAATGTAGTAGCAGTTGTAGCAAAAGCGCTCTAAAAATAACTTAATTACATGTACAATATTCTATGACGCACTGACCTTGTTCAGTTGGTTGTTGTCTAAAGCTTTTGTTGTAAATCACTAAACTGGAAGTGGTGTTAATTATTCACGGTTGGTGGTTTATATATTTGTTTATATTTCTATTGGGGGCGAGCGATTGGAGTTCGAATTCAGAAAGAAGCCGAGATTTCCTACAGCGAAAATTATAATTTTCATGTAACATCAAGGCAGATATTCTCTCAATTTTAAAGACGACTCTTACAGTTTCTCTATGTCCTCAATAATGTCCAATATATTCGCATACTTGTAAAATCAGTAAAACCTAACTTCTGTGATGTTTATCTCTGGTTCCTGCGATCGGGTTGGAGTATGGATAAAAGGCAGGGTGTAGAATTTTAAATGCAGACCGGCACTCTCCCATCGAAGCCTTGGTGAACATCTGTCTTCTTGACCTTACCCAAATGCGACTGAATTCCAGACTAAATTTTAATAAATATCTAAACTAAAGTTTCAAACTGTAAATCGGTGAATTTATAGCATCATCAAATTTTGTGCTCACTGTGAACTAATGGCCTTAGAAATGACAAGGATCCTGTTTGTCACTAATTATGGGTGAATCTTACGATAGTTAGGACCTTTTTGCCTTGCATCCAAATCCCGTATACCATCAACTTTCTACCGAAAACACACATCAGCATCACTTGGTGTGATTGCCATCCGATACTCCACAAGACTACTACTACCACTAAAACAATAACAACAACAGTAATAATAACAAAAATAATAATAACAGTAACAATAATAACAACAGTAACCTTAATAATAATAGCAATAGTAACAATAACAACAGTAACATTAATAATAATAAAAACAATAATAATAACCTTAATAACAATAACAGTAATAATAACAATAATAATAACAAAAGTAACAATAATAATAACAACAGTAACATTAACAACAATAACAATAACAATAATAATAACAAAAGTAACAATAATAATAACAACAGTAACATTAACAACAATAACAATAATAATAACAGTAACATTAACAATAACAACAACAGTAACAGTAATAACAACAATAACAATAATAATAACAATAACAACAATAATAATAACATTAACAATAACAACAACAGTAACAGTAATAACAATAATAATAATAATAATATTCTTGCAGCAGGCAGGAGCTGAGATATGGCCATCACCACTCGGTCGAAAGAATATGATCTTCTTTATGTGCCATGTTCCCTCATACGTTGACGATCATGGATCTCCACAACTTCCTATCCTTTGTAGCTCTTAATAAATTTTATCTTTCTGTTATTTCTCCTAAGCCCTGTTACGCCAAAGTCGAAAGGTACGTTATGCGTAGATTTCCTCTGTCTCTCTTTTGCCTTCAATCTGTCCAGTGAAAGTCGGGGATGATCTCAACAATAATAACACAAGTTACGCAGCACTTATTTCGATTAGAAAGATTACCTCACTACTTATACAAATGTAAAAACAGTTGGCAATAATATATAATATGTGGCTATAAAAAAGGCTCTGTTGATTATTTAATGCTAATTTGTTTGAATAATGCATTGACTATTGTTTGCGTCGCGTAACAATATTTGTTAATAAAGGGATGCACTAAAATAAGTAACCAAGTAATAGTTTTAAGTTCTCTGTTAAAATTTGTTTACCAGCATATTTCAATGCAGAGTCCGCCCCCCAAAATATATACACACTTCAGAGAAGGAAAAACTTGTATAGATATTGTAATACTAAATTTATTTAGGCATCTCGAGATTATCTTTGGATTCGAGATATTCAAAATGGTGGCCTTCAGTGGACATTAATACAGCCAGATGCTACTTGGGCAACACGTTGGCCAAAGTGTACAGTGGGATTGCTGCACATGCATTTCACTTGTTGATGCTATACAGCTTTGAGGATATGACATCTGTCGAAAAAAATATCCTACCATAAACCGTTTTATTGCAATACTAACCCGGCGTTGCCCGTGCTTGATTAAAAAATCGTACGACTCGTACAGCAATCGCTATCACTTGACGTAAAATGTTTTTGCCCTTCCTTGCCTTTAAAGAAGTGCTCTTTGCCGTGCTGATGTTGCTACATGCCTTACTTCTTGCCTATCTCACACTGCGAATTTTTTCTAAGCTCTATACTAAACATTAAATCTGTTACAAAAAAAGAACTAAACAAAATCAACACAAAACGAGCAGATTTAAAAAAAGGACTCATAACTGAAAAAAACGAATAAAAAAAAGAATGTTAACAAATACTTTTTCACACCGAACCCAGTTCTGCGGAATCAGAATCAACGTCGAGTTTAAGCAAGCGAATGAGCCAATTGGAGTAAAGTGCCATGCAGATTTAAATTTTTTCCACTTGTGACGAATGCAGCTATCGATTTTTTTGTATGCTAATATGCTAGTTAACATTCGTGTCAGTGGCTGTTGGGTCTCACGCTGGCTAATAGAATCTTCCTGCCTATTCATGGCATCCAGCTATTGGCTCTCACTCTGGCCAGTACAAAATGGCCGCAAACTACATGAAAACTGCCGTAGAAGCATGAAAAAAACAATTATTTCCACTATCGACAGGAATTGTGAAATGCAAAGTAGGTCTTGGGCTTCCCGCTAACTTGGAGCATGTGCATATAAATTTTGATGCAAATCCGTCGAAAATTGCGGCCGTGCATTCGTTACACACACACACACACATCCTGCCTTTTATAGATAGAGATGATAAAACTACAAAAGACAATTTTTTCCTTTCCTGTGTATAGACTTTTTGATGGACTTTGTGTGTGTGTATATATATATATATATATATATATATACACACACACAATCTTTTTGAGTTTGTAGGTCTCATGAATTGGATCGTGATTACGATTCCAATGTAATAAATTATAACCATGGAATATTAGTGTTTAAGCCTTTTTATATTATATTCTTAATCTGTGCTGCACATTGAGTTCTGTCTGGATTCTTATCCTCTTGGGAATTTATATATACACACACACACACACATATATATATATATATATATATATATATATATATATATATATATATATATATATATATATATATATTTAAAATTATGATTTAAAATATGGTTTCTTCGTTACAATAATAACCATGTTTCAAAAATGGAAGCTAAAATCTTTCATTTTAATTATATAATTAAATTAAAAGCATTAGTTCCGTTTTATCTTCAAGCGAATATTGGAATAACTTATTTTTAAATTTACCGAGTTTTAAACGCACATATAAATTCATAATTTACTGTTTCCAAGGATACAGAGAAATCCAATCATTCAGACAGGGGCGGTAGCGTGTTCATTTTTATTAACTATTGTTGTATCAATTATGAGTTACGTTCGAAAAAGAGGTTAAGTTTAGGGAGGGTAGGGGTTTATTTTTCAATGAATTCTGACTTTCGTTAAATCCATGTCGTCTGTGTTTTGGGTTTTTTTTTATTAACGGCAAATAGTTTTTCGGCATTTTTTTTTTTCTTGTATACTGAAAGATTCTTTTTAGGTGTGTTTGTGTCAAAATACATTTTAAAATATTTTTACTCTTAATTACTATATTTATTTTTAAAAACAAGTAAATGCAATAGAATTACATTATTTAAAATTATTTTTTTCATATCAAATATAAGTTTGTATATTACCAGCTCCCTTTTTTTTTTTTTTTTTTTTTTTAAATTTTATTTAAGGAAAATTTTTGACAATGACGGCATAAAATAGCTATTTCATTTCTCTGATTCAGTAACTTTTTATTTTTTATAAACTTAGTAATATATAGTTTCTCATGTATGCACAAAGGATATGGGTTATTTAATGACCTACATATTCTAGCTTTTCTTCTTAACTTCCATTTTAAACACCTACAGTAAAATAAAGGAATTGTTTGTGTGCATGGGGTTAACAACTTGCCAAAACCGCAAGAGTAATGGTAGATTTGCGACCCAATATATTCCACAGAGATTTTCTATACCAATTCATATGTAAGACTCCCATGACCGTGTCTTACTGTTTCCTCGGCTATATATGTTTATTGGGGAAACAAAATGAGTTTTATTAATTCGCTTTAATTGACACCCAATTTATTTGTATTAATGGTTGGACGAAAAAAAAAAAGGGACATGCGCACACGAGACATTAATATCAAGTTTCGACATCTTCAACTCCATATACCTTCATATCGCACTCATTTTTTTTTCTCTGGTTTTCTTTTCTTTACCATTTTCCTTCCTTTCTTTCTTTCTTCTCGCTCTTCCTCCGGTCCTTCTCTCGATTCTTCCTCCGGTCCTTCTCTCGATTCTTCCTCCGGTCCTTCTCTCAATTCTTCCTCCGGTCCTTCTCTCAATTCTTCCCCCGGTCCTTCTCTCAATTCTTCCCCCGGTCCTTCTCTCTTCCCCCGGTCTTTCTCTGTTCTCTCAATTCTTCCCCCGGTCCTTCTCTGTTCCCCCGATCCTTCCCTCAGTTCTTCCCCCGGTCCTTCTCTCAATTCTTCCCCCGGTCCTTCATTCCTCCGGTCCTTCTCTCTCCCCTCAATTTTTCCTTCGGTCTTTCTCTCTCCTCTCAATTTTTCCTCAGGTCCTTCTCTCTTCCCCCGGTCCTTCTCTCAATTCTTCCTCTGGTCCTTCTCTCAATTCTTCCCCCGGTCCTTCTCTCTCCCCTCAATTCTACCTTCGGTCCTTCTCTCGATCGAAAAAAATAAGTAGCAGCAAACGAGTCATAAGATCCATTTTCTCCCGGGTAATGGCCGATCACCTGTAATGAGTAGATATAATAATGTTCGCTTTCATTAATACGTTTGTTTTGTTTTTTTTCATTCTTCACCAAAAGCCAAATTTTCGGTAGGGAAAATCTGTTAACCCTGTTGAAAAGAGGCTTAAAATATTGAAATTTAAGAAAACCTGATCTTTTAAGTGAATTTTCCAAAAGTTTGTGTGAATTTCAAGAAATGTTTTCAATAATGTCACTGTAATAACATATATCTGTTTATTTGGAGAGAATTGTGTGTTTAAAAAATAATACTACGTATAATTTTCTGATAGCGTTATGACAGTGGCCAATGATATGTATTTAGGAGGACAATTACTCTATTATATTCTGTGCGCCATTGTGTGCCGACCTCCTGGATCTTGCCAAAATTTTGCCTGGTTGAGGTGGCGCTATAGTCGCAGACATAATTCAGTTGTCAGACTAATTTCATCAAACTTGTATCCATCTCATCAAAAGAGAAATTAAGAGACGCCACAATCAGATATTTCCGGATATTTTTTTTTTCCTGACGATGTAAAGAACCGTGGAGTTTTCTCTCGTGAGTGTTTTGTGGTATTTCTCGCAGCTTTCTTGCTACCTACGTCTTTGGAATATACGTCGAATTTAAACATGACTGGTTGGAAAAGATTACACGTCATTCAAGACAATCAGGTACGTACTTTAAACAGGGTTCGAACTTCTCTCGTATTGTCATCCTTTCAATTGCATACTTCATTTTTTTTATGTTGAAATCTAACGTACTTTCTGTCATTGATATTTTTTTTTAATATTCTCTTCCGAAATAATTCTTGAAAATTTATCCTACCCCAGGTTTCTTTCCTTTTTCTTCTTTTTATCGCGCAGTCCTTGTCAATTTTATACTTGTTTGGGTGTTATATTTATCTCTCTTTTTTTTTAATTCTTCAAGTTAAAATCGAAACATGTCCTTCAAAGCTGGAAATATGCTAAGCGTATTTAATATATATATATATATATATATATATATATATATATATATATTTACCCGTTATCTGTATAAAATAAGTTCGTTCAGAATTTATTTAAGATATTTCTACGTCTACCGTTCGTCCATACATTACATATTATGGCCACATCTTGTCTGGTGCTTCTGGTATTATTTAGAGATTCTTAATAAAATACAAAGAATCTGCAATATTACTTGTCTTGACCTGGTATCTCGGCTTCATTCACTTCCCCATCGCCCTAACATAACATTCCTGTGCCTTTTCTATAAATATTTTCATGGTAATTGTTCTGATTAACTTTCCTCTAGGGTACCTTTATGAATTTAAGAGCAGTACTAGATTGTCGACTCGGTTTCATCATTTTACAAATGAACCGTAAGTTCTATGCTAACAGTTTCTTCTCGATTGTGGAACTCTCTTCTGGCTTCTTACTTTCCACTCAACTTTGATATTCGAAAGTTTAAATGCAATGTCAATCGTTATATTCTGCCTTCTTAATTCCTCTTCTTTCATTGTTATATCTCCTTAATAGCGTTTATTCTTTTTCTCATATTCTTTCACACTCAGTTACGACTTGTGTCTTAGTAGCTTTCTTAACTTGCTTTAGATGAAATGATTAAAAAATGTTGTACAGTTCTATTAACACAAGGTCAATAATATGGAGTACCCAGAAAATTGATACTTGCTTAATAGAATCTGAAAATTAACAAGCTGATGGCGAGTTTGCTGTTATAAAAAGTACAATACCAAATATTCGAAAAATAAGATTGTGTTGCGTCAAACTTTCAAGTGAGTACTCCGTGTCTCATTTGAAAATTGGCTTTCGAAATTTTGATCATGGAAATACACACACTAATATCAGTATATATTTCTTCTGAACCAAGAACTGACAGAAAGAATTAAAAAAATGTCGAAAGTTGTGTTGCGTCAATTTTTTTTTTTTTTTTTTTTTTTTTTCAATGTGAGGATAATATACTTCCTTTTGGAAATCAGCATCATTTTTTTTCTTTTTACGTGGAACACTGAAATCTGAAAAATATTCACAACTATCTCTGCCAAAAATCAGGTCATATAATAAACTTACGTCAGTGGTATGGTGTCGAATTGAAAAACTTGCACGGAAAAGTTATAAAATAGTTCACGAAAAAAAAGGAAAAATAACATTTCAGGGAAGATAACTCGAAAGTTTTCCTTGGAGAAGTGCAGTTATCGCCCTTGTTTATGAATTCGAATCTATTGACAATGTCGTGTCGACGCCTGTCATAAAGAGACATAAAGCAAACTCGTCTCGCGAACCGTTTCCTAGTGTACAAAGTTCAAGCCTAACCTAGTGCTCTATTACCGTGGCCATGTACCGGACTAAGTTCACTTTGAATTTTTTTTTTTTTTTTAAATCTTAGAATGGTGCATTTATCGTAAGTGCATGAATTATTCGAATGAAACATCGTTCTTTGTCAAATGGTAACTTGAAGGCGGTCGAAGAAAGCATCGGCCGAAAAGGAGTTTTAAAAAATAAGAGTATTAATACGCAAAAAAACACGAGGTGGTGCTGCTGATATAAAGATTCTCCATTTAAAAAACAAAAAAAAACAAAAAAAAACTTGATACTTCGTCAGATTGTGAGAAATGGTTCGAGCCAAGAACTGTCCAATATCCTCTCATGAGTTTGTCCAGGGACAGTTTTAGATCAATTTTATCAAATTGAGCCCCTCACCTTAAGAGGGGGGGGGGCTCCGTGCCAGTTGCGACAGAGTTACGGTTTGAAGCCTTTTCTGTATCTTAAAAGGAATAAATCACTAAACTGAAAATGTGAAATGAAGAATGAGAAATTCTTATTCCTCACATTAATTTATTAGACATAACAGAAAATCGTCCTGTTATTTCTATCAACAAAAAAAAGGTTATGTCTTTCAACCAAAATGGTACCAAAAGATAGTTTTTCTGTGTTTAGATTAATCTACGATAAAAACAAGTTTTCTCTCGTTTTTTTTTGTTTGTTTTTTTTTTGTTTGTTTTTTTTTTGTTTTGTTTTTTTTTTTTTATAAGTGTCGTACTTTAAGGTCCTTGTATATTGTGTAAAGACTTATCTTAACGTGAGTGTCATTGGTCTTTGGATATATCGTGTATTGTTACGTATTTAAGGATATATTGTGCTGTAACAATTGTCTGTATTTCTTCCGAATTTTCTTTCAGTTAGTTAGCTACTTGGTACTCGTGTGTGTGTGTGTGTGTGAGTGAGAGAGAGGAGGGAGGGACATTGTTGGATATCAGGAAATGTGCTCACCCTTGACAAATAGAAATAAGGACTTTATGGTCCCCAGTTTCATACATGAGTAGAAAAACATTGCGATGTGATATTAATTATGGCGTTCTTCTGCTCTTATGAACTTCATACCAATATAGAACAAAAATTTCTATACTTTTGAAATTTCAACAGTGGTTTCTTATCTCTCCTAAACACTGTTCTGTCATCCATTTACACAAGCTCGCTAGGTAGGTTATGTTATTTATTTACCCATTAACAGTCTGTTTCACGCTTAGTGATTTTTTTTTTTCAAAATGAGCGCCTGTTTATTTTGGACACGCCTAAAATTGTCTCTCTCGGGTTTTGCAATAGAAAAAAAATGGCTATGCGTTAAACAGGAAGTTAATGCATAGATATATAATGCTATTTTTATGTGTATTAAAAAGACGTTTTAAGAGTACTTTAAATAGAGTAGACTTTCATTTTTCATCTTTCATATATATATGTAAGAAAAGAAATATATAAATCATATATGGACAGAATTTTTTTTTGTTTTTTTTGTTGTTGTTTTTTTAGGGGGGTCTTGTTTTTTGCTACTCATGACTAATTATAGGAGAGTGTTTTTTTTTTATTTTTTTTTTAAATACCCATTTTTTTTCATCGTTTATCATCGTGATATGCCAGTAACGAGACATTTTGTAAATATATCTAGTTATGAGAAAGCGTGCTGAAAAAAATGGATTCATACCTTTCCCACGCGTACGATATGCTTTTTAATGCCATGTGCCTTCAAGACATAGGCGATTATGACTCTCCATTTATTCACTGTCTTCTTTGATAAGATAGTGCCTTTTCCACAGTTTGGAATTCTGGGGTTTTCCTTCTCTTAGATTGGTTGCCTTCCAAGGATTCAAAAACCAATCTCACCTGCTATTTAACCGGTAGCTGAGGAAAAATAGACGGGTTCGTGCCTTTTTCAAAGGCATTTTTTATACTAACGTTCACCGAATACAAGGCCTAAGAGCCACTCAAATTAGAGAGTTATTGTGTGAAATTATATTAGCGCAGGAAAGGACAAGCGTTAGGAGTAGATCTGTAGCAGACTTTAGAAAGAACCAGAAACCTAATCCTAAACAAGAAGCAGGGGATAAACTTCTGCTCCTGTTCAAAAGACCGGGGCGGAGTGTGAACGAGACGATTGGCGAATCTATCTACTCCTATTGGTGGTGGAGAGAATAAAATTAAATAAATAATAAGTGAATAAACATTCAGAATTTAGGCGCAGATATTAGGAGTAGAAAGCTAAAGCAGACTTTAGAAGGAACCGGAAACCCAGTCCTAAACAGGAAACGAGGGATAAACTTCTTTTGTTCAAAAGATCAGGGAGGAGAGTGAACCGGACGATCGGCGAAACTATCTACTGTTTGCGAAATTGATCACAACAAATTAACCCGGAAATTGAACTCGTCTTACCGGTTCTAATTTTCGCGCCAATATCCATCAAGTATCATTCGCTATCTCTCCTCTTTATTTGCATAATCTTCACTTTTTTTCCATCTTCTCTTGCATTCATGTCACACACACCTCATTCAGTAACCCTCTACCATGAATAGCTCGTATTGGATGAACTTTAGCCAAAATAAAAAAAATATATAAAATTTCCACATTTTTACCCTCGGCTACTGTCAGTTTCAAAGAAAGAACCATGCACATAAGGGGTGTTACATAGGCAAAAATGTTGTTGGTATTTAAAGAAGATTTTTTGCGCCTAATAACTGCATTAAACTCACAAGAACGAATGGTTAAGAGTAAGAAAGCATATTAGATTAAATGTTAACGCTCTGTATTTTGTGCTTGACAGTTTACATTGCGCCGAAAACGAGAGCGATGCAACTAATAAAGCTTTTATCAGATAATAACCCTACGGCTACACATAGTTTCAGGACTGCAGAATCATTGCTTCTAACACGAAGCACCCTACCAGTACCCCACGATATCAGATTTTGTTGGTTTTTACGTTACAGTATATAATGTGAGTGTACTGAAATTTCTGGGGTTTTTGTTTATTTTTTTTGCTTTTTTTTTGCATAGGTTTTCTCTCTCTCTCATATATATATATATAAGTACACAATAAAATCCTAAATTACCTAATTTTGAAATAGTTATAACACAAGTGGATCCTAGTAATTTTTATATTACTAGGATCCACTTGGATTATAACTGTTTTCCATATGAGGCAATTTGGGATTTTATTGTTTACTAATTATTTTCCCTGTAATAAGAAATACATTGGTCTCTTTTTTTTTTTTTTTTTTTTTTTTTTTGATCAGTTTTAATATTTTATATTACTAAGATCCTCTTAGATTATATACCAACGGATTTATTACCTTTACTATATATATATATATATATATATATATATATATATAATGTGTGTGTGTGTTTAATCCTTTGGTTATATGGATAATCCCGAGGAGTTCCTAAAATATGAATATCCAGGTAAAACTCCTAATGTATGAGAATAAGTCTTTTTCTTTCTTTCTTTTCTGTCTGTCTTTTTAAATCAATTTATTTCTTATTTCTCTGATTTTTCATTCCACGCCACTATTCTGCACATCCTCAAAAAGACATCGCATTTAAAAAAAAAATAATCAGTTTTACTCAAGTCGTTCTAATATTAAGTCTTTTCCTTATTAAATAAGTTTTATCACAAAATTATCAGTAAATCCAGTCTTCAGTCGCTTTTCCTATTTCATATTTTACCTTAAAAGCTGCAAATACTTCCTCTAAGAATCTCAAAACAAAATACAGGAAAATATACAGACAACAATGAAGAGATATTGAATTTCAGAAAAATTCGATCTATTGTACTTCCTCGCATTGAAATCAAACAATTAAAAACAAATTTCTTTGTGTCGTGCCTCTCCAAGACGTGGGCGTCCATAGCTCTCCACAACTCCCTGTCTTTTATAACTCTTATTAAGGTTTTTTTTTCATTTTACTATCCCTCTTACTCTCTCTTCTGTCAACCATGTACACAAGCTCATTGGGTAGGTTAGGAGTCGTTTTCCTCTATCCCTCTTGCATTCAATCTGTCCTTGTGAGTGTCAAATGTTCCAGGCTCTCTTCCTTCATTATGTGCCCTAGAAATATCGACTGTCTCTTTCTGATTGTAAGTATACGTGTCTCTTTTGTTCCCATTTCCTTTAAAACATTATAGAAAGGGATACAAAAAGATTAATTCAAGTTTCTTAAATAAATTTCTTACGGGACTTATATCTCTTTAAACGAATGAGTTGAACTCAATTGAAAGTGATAAAACTGAAGTGCCAAAGCCAACATTCTTGGAAATATGTTTCTGATAAGAAGCAAGGTTGATATTTTTAGGGTGTGCCTTCCCACCGCCTCTACCGCCCCGGAAACATAGTTATCAATGATTAAGATAACAGACTTTTAAGCTAAGTTTCTTTTCAGGTGCCAGACAAGTGATGTTCCTTTCTGTCTCAGTTTTGTTGGGAAACTACTATTGGTAAAAGACCTACTAATAGGTTTCTCTGTCGTTAGAGCAGACGATGATCTAAAATTAACCTGGGTGTTATTTTTAGCAGGTTTGTTACGAATGAAATAGCACGAAAACTTGGAGAGTTGAGGAACTGGTTTCAGCCTCTTTCAATATTTGAAAAGCTGTCCACCCGACTGTTACCTCAATCGCACGCACACACACACACACACACACACACACACACACTTGTCGTCCTGGGTATGACGACAAACTACAGCCGGCAGCAAGGCCTCTGCTCGGTAGGTTTTGAAGAGCCTGGGACCTATTTAATTGCGCGTCCTGGGTGTGACGATAAAGTACGCCCGGCGTCCTGGGTATGACGATAAATTGCAAGGTTTCTGATCAGGAGCTTTTGAGGAGCGATGAACCACCTCTTAATTGCTGGTGTTCCCAGGTCCACCCTGACCCGGGGTGGTAGCACCTGTTAGGGTCCCAACTAAAGGCAAATAGTTAACCCCCCCAAACTGGGGTCAATACACTATGAAAGTGTAAAATGGATTTTTATACCAGCAATAAATTTTTTAGGAAAAAATATTACCAACAATATACTTTTTTTAAAAAAATATATGACCAGCAATAAAAATCTTGTCGGTATTTGATATGCCGTAAAACAAAACACACACACTTAAAAATTTATTCAAAGATTTTTAAAACCGCTTTCATTTGTGTCCAGTCATCGTCATTTAAATTCACAATACCAAGGAACTATCCCCAATGCTAACTCTAATCCCCCTCTCTCTGTCTCACATGTTCCTTTAGAACTTGTGTGATCGTGGTTCTTCACATCTTCCTTCTTTTGCGTCTGTATGACTCACCCTTCAACTTGACTATACTTGTTCTGCCATCAATTTGTCATGTTATTCATTTCTTTCGTCATCTTTGCCTTCGACGCGCCAATGTTAAATTCTCACTTATACCAATTTCAAGATTTGAAAAATGAAGTTATTATTTTTCCCAGATTGCAAGATACACGATTTAAAAAAGAATAGTTATACGAATGACGTATCTTGAGTTGAAAGAGTTCGTAAAAGTCATGGAGCATATTTTAGCATATAAAAAATAAAATAACGATTGTGCACCATTTTGTGGAAACAAAATGTATAAACTGATAGGCGTTCTCTATTTGGCGCAACTCTATCTTCCTACTAACTTTTTCCTTCCATTTCTTAATAAAACACTAGATAGATATTAAAGATAGATAGATAGATAGATAGATATAGATAGATATTAAAGATAGATAGATAATAGATATTAAAGATAGATAGATAGATAGATAAAAGATAGATAGATAGATAGATAAAGATATTAAAGATAGATAGATAGATAGATATTAAAGATAGATAGATAGATAGATATTAAAGATAGATAGATAGATAGATATTAAAGATAGATAGATAGATAGATATTAAAGATAGATAGATAGATAGATATTAAAAATATAGATAGAATTAAATTAAATATGTACAGGCTGTGAGATGTCAATTGTTTCACCAGCTGTTGGACATACTTTAATGTCTATGAGTGAAATAAATAAACAAAAATTGCTAAATATTTTGTATTGTGACTTCTCACAGTTGAAATAAATTTTTTTTTAATTCTGTTGCTGAGTTCCAAACTTTATTCATTTTTATTTTTTGTAGGTTTTCACAACGATAATCATTAATTTCACTAAAATTAGCGTTGCATTCTGGTTAATTTTACTTCAGACTTACAAAAAAAGGTGCAATACCTCCAAAATTAGGTGAGCAATTCAACTAGAATTTTTTTTAAATAGATACAATATATTTAAATACAAATTAGAGACGTCATAATAGATCATTCCATCTTAAATAAATCAATGTTTTGCGACAATTTTTAATATTAATTTGAGATTTTTCTTGTTAAAATTTTGAAGAATTTTAGCACATTCAACGTTATGAATTAAAAATGGTGAATTTTATATCATGATATCTCAAGACTTATGTACAAAACAAAATTCATGAAGTTGGAGCCCCCCCCACACACACACACCAAAAAAAAACCGAATGACGTCAAAATCGGTGAAAGATTTTCACCCTTTAATAGTCATTTGTACTTAGTTTAATTTGTAACATATATGTGGGTAGAAAAAAGGTCAATAAGATAGCGAGCGTCAAAAGCACTGCCAGGGGCACCTAATCAACTCCCTCCCCCTCGGGTGGGGCGTTTGGGAATAGTACAGACCGGCCTTACCCACAAGTAAAAAAAAAAATAGAATCTTAACATTTTTCAGGGGTCATTCTTTGGCAAGATTAGATATTCATAAGTTTAATTATTTATGATTTAAAGATATTGGATAATTGGTGGTTTTTGAAGGATTGTCTCGAAAGCGGACAATTTCACGAATTTCAGCAACTTAAAGATTAAAACAAAATTTCCTTGTCTCAAGTTCCTCTGATAACAACAAAAAAAAAGAAAGAAAGGCTTGACCCGAAACGCGACTTCGTTGCTCATATAAAGAAATAAAAACAGAAACTTAAAATGCTTCTTCAACCAGTATGAAGGCCAACCTAGGTTTTTGTTTGTATTTTTTATTTCGGAGGAGGGGTGATCATTCCCTTTTTTCTTTACTTTTTCGTTTTTATAGTTATTTTGTTCTTTGTGTCTTTTCTTTTTTTTTCTTTTCCCTTTTTCTTTTCTTTTCCCTTTTTCTTTACTTTTCTAATTTTTCTTTTCTAATTTTTTCTTTGCTAATTTTTTCTCTTTTTCTCTTTTCTTTTTCCTCTCTTCTTTTCTTTTTCCTCTCTTCTTTTCTTTTTCCTCTCTTCTTTTCTTTTTCCTCTCTTCTTTTCTTTTTCCTCTCTTCTTTTCTTTTTCCTCTCTTCTTTTCTTTTTCCTCTCTTCTTTTCTTTTTCCTCTCTTCTTTTCTTTTTCCTCTCTTCTTTTCTTTTTCCTCTCTTCTTTTCTTTTTCCTCTTTTCTTTTTTCTCTTTTTTCTTCTCTTTTTTTCTTTTTCCTCTCTTTTTTCTTTTTTTTCTTTTTCCTCTCTTTTTTTTTTTTTTTTCTTTTTCCTCTCTTTTTTCTCTTTTTTCTTTTTCCTCTCTTTTTTCTTTTATCTTTTTCCTCTTTTTTCTCTTTTTTTCTTTTTCCTCTCTTTTTTCTTTTTTTCTTTTTCCTCTCTTTTTTTTTCTTTTCCTCTCTTTTTTCTTTTTTTTCTTTTTCCTCTCTTTTTCTTTTTTCTTTTCCTTTTTTCTCTTTTTTCTTTTCCCTCTCTTTTTCTTTTTCTTTTCCTCTCTTTTTTCTTTTTTTCTTTTCCTCTCTTTTTTTCTTTTTTCTTTTCCTCTCTTTTTTTTTTTTTCTTTTCCTCTCTTTTTCTCTTTTTCTTTTCCTCTCTTTTTCTTTTTCTTTTTCCTCTTTTTTCTTTTTTTTTTTCCTCTCTTTTTCCTTTTTTTTCTCTTTTTTCTTTTTCCTCTTTTTTCTTTTTTTTTCTTTTTCCTCTTTTTCTCTTTTTTTTCTTTTTCCTCTTTTTTCTCTTTTTTTTCTTTTCCTCTTTTTTCTTTTTTTTTTCTTTTCCCCTTTTTTCTTTTTTTTTTCTTTTTCCTCTTTTTTCTCTTTTTTCTTTTTCCTCTTTTTTCTCTTTTTTTCTTTTTCCTCTCTTTTTTCTTTTTTTTCTTTTTCCTCTCTTTTTTTCTCTTTTTTTTCCTCTTTTCTCTTTTTTCTTTTCCTCTCTTTTTCTCTTTTCACTTTTCTCTTTTTCTTCTCTTTTTTTTTTCTCTTTCTTTTTTTTTTTTTCTTTCTTTTTTCTTTTTTCTTTTTCTTTTTCTTTTTCTTTTTCTTTCTCTTTTTTTCTCTTTTTTCTTTCTCTTTCCTTCGTTATTTCTTTCTGATTTCATTTCCTATTTTCGTTTTTTTCTTCATTTTCTGTGTCTTTTTTCCATTACTTCTCTTTTTCTCTTTCTTTTTCGTTATTGTTTTTATTGCTTTCGTTGGTTTCTTTCCTTTCTTTTTTTTTCTCTTAAATTTTTTTTTTTTATTTTATTTTTTTCAACGGTTTGATTGTAATTTTAATTTTTTTGTAATTGTTTTTTTTGTGTGTGTGCTTTTTTGTTTTGTTTTTTGGGGTTTTTTTTTGGTTTTTTTTTTTTTTTCAGGTACTATTTTAATTACATTTTTTATTTTTAAGTTACTAAATTTTGAAAAATTTTCAAGAATAGATTCTATAAATTTGTTTTCGGGAAATGAGTGACAAACGTTTTAAAAAAAAAAACTTTTTCTCTCTCTCTCGCCTTATTTCTCCCCTCCCCCTCTTTCTATCTCATCCTCTTTCTTTCCACCCACACAATATGAAATTTGGTAAGGGCTTTTTCCCTTCATCTTCCTTCTCTCCAACGGAGTTTTCAGTAGTGGGTGGCCGCAAAGAGAAAATAAAATCTAAGTTAGTGGATCCCCGCCCTCGCAGTCACTTTCTCCAGTAAAATCGCACATCTAGGTAATGTAACAGACCCTATTCTTCGGTTCTTCATTTCTGCAAATCTTCTTCACATATTGATGGTAATGGGCACACACGCATTTACAAAGCTTCCTGTCTGAAACGGCTTCGTTATGGGGTAAGGAGAGAAAGAGAGAGAGAGAAAGGGAGAAACCCAAAAGTCTCTATTTCTTTCTCCTTCCACTGGTACGTCATAAGCTCGCATTTTTTCTTACTAACAACTCGTAGCGACGTCAAGAAGCAGGCGTTGGGAAATTGTTTTGGTAATCTTCGCCGAAAATCACCCGTCTCCATGGACCCCAACTTTAACTGCTGTCCAGTTTCTCTTGGATATTTTTAAATGTCCAAATATTTATAAAAACAACGAAAACAAATCAGGCTGGTGTTACCTTTACCAACCATGATGGCCCTGAGGGGTTCCCTGTTTGAGTATCAACCGACCACAACAGGAGAACTGGAACCTTATGTAAGTTAAGTTTTTGCGAAGCAGTTACACTGAGTGTTACAGATAATAAGCAACTCACTATTAAAGAATTCTCAACAGGAATTTTCCATTCTACATTAGACAAAACTTTTAACAATTTTTTTTCTTTTAATAATTTTGAAGAAAAAATAGCATAAATTTTTTTACCTCTTTCTCTTTTTTTCTCTCTCTTTCTCTCTCTCTCTCTCTCTCTTTCGTTCTCTTTTCTCTTTCTTTACCTCACCTTTTCTTCTTTTTCTCTTGCCTCCACTCTGTTTACATTTCTATTTCCCTCTTCGTTTCTCTCTTTCTCTCTGCTTGTTTCTTGCTCTTTTCCACTTTATTTTTTCTTTCCTTTTCCTCTTTCCTTGTTCTTTCTTTCCTTTTTCTCTTGTTCTTTTCCTCTCGTTCTTTTCCTTCCTTTTCCTCTCGTTCTTTTCCTTCCTTTTCCTCTTGTTCTTTTCCTTCTGTCTCTTGCCGTTCTTCTCTCTTAATCATATCTCTTTTCTACTCTTTCTATCTCTCCATCTCTTCTTGTTTCTCTCTTTGATTTTTCTGCTCCTATCGACTTTCTTTATCATACTTAACTTATCTGTTTCTTTTTGCTCTCTTCTGCTTTTCACTATACTCAATTTACGTGCTGTTTCTCTCCTAAAATAGATTTCCATGACCCACATGGGTTTCCATGAAGCGAAAACTCTACCTTATTGATGAATTTTCCTTTCTTTTTTTTTTTTCTTTTCACTTTTCCTCTCTCCCTCCTGTTTCTTACGATGTTCAGCAAAACTATTTTAGACCAGAGAAGGGATCAAAGCTCACAAGGTAAACACGTTGTTTCTCAGACGATCCATAGTTTCTCACATATGTTTTGGTTCGAATCTGGGAGGAAAAAATCTTAAAGAAGTTTTTCATATATCTGCTCGTGAAATAATCTCCATTTATATCGTTGTTAAAAGATACACTAAAATCACTTTAAAGCCCTATGTTTTTTAAGCTTCATGTTCCTACTTACAAAAAGAAAATCAAATCTGGTACAAGGCTACGTTCTTTGGGCTCCCTGGGAGATTCGGGGATTTTTTAATACTTTTGCATATATATGTTTTACCGGAAACGTTGAAAGAATTTTATCTATTTGGGGGAAATTCTTGGCGGTTTTTGTTTTTGTTTTGTTTTTTTGTTGTTGTTTTTTTGGGGGGGAAGGAGAGGTAGGAGGTTAAAAAAAAATCTAACCATATCTCATCCCACCTCACAGATCAAGCGAATTGTACATTTTCAGGGTAACCTCCTTCTCCTCGCCAAAGTACCTTCCTGTAAAATGTCCTTCTGTACGGCGATGGGTGTGGAAAATCTACTCAAAAACCCCTAGAACAAGACTGTAATTTTCACTACTTAATAATTATTGATAGAACATTTACAGAAAATTATGCATTTTCGTTTCCCCACGTAATTCTTTGTGATCATCATTATTTTAATGGGTTAGAGAAAAAAAAAGAAACAATAAATTTTCAAAATTCCTTCCCTGCAAAGCAGTGGTTACAAATCTTGTCTTAAAAGTACCGAGTTTAATCTTCACTGACAGCTCCAAAATAGTCATCTTGTGCGAGACAAAATATCTACGAAATATATTAAGGATTGGGTTTTCGGTACCCTAAAGTCTTTTCATTCTCTTTTACTACGTGTGGCCCCTTGCATATTTCATTATTTGTGACGGTTTTATTTTTGCGTCCTTTTGTTTTTCTATGTATCATATTTATAATGAAACTAAACTAAACTACGAGGCTGGGAAGATTGTGTAGTACCATTCATTTAACTGGGTAGTGCTTGAGTTGGAAAAATAGCATTCAAAATTTAGGCATTTAGCTAGGTTTGAACCATGGCTTTCATAAAAAAAAAAAAATAACTGCCAACAAGCACGAACTGAGTTTGTGGAAACTTCCGGAATCTCTAAATACATCATTGCTTACCTGAAATCAAGATTTGCCTTCTAAAAATATAAACATTAAATTAATCGCATCTTTGAAAGCTTAAGTTCTTCGAGGAAAAAACTGAAAATTTTAAAATTATTTTATTTTTCATAACGAAATTAAACTTATTTGCTCAATGTGAAAGTCTAGATGTTTGAAACTCAAGACAAAAACAACATAGACACTCCTATTTAATCTTTGCTGTCCTGAAATATCTTTAATTCGTCCACCTCCCACCATCCACTTCCTCAGAACGAACAATGCCTAACCCAAATCTAGTACTGAAATTAGGATTTAAAGTCTTACATAATTTTTTACTAATCATGAATATGAAAAAATTACATATTAATCTGGCCAGGCTAAAGTTCATAATGGGCGAAAAAATATAAAACTTGATTTTTTTTAATTTTTTTTTTTTTAACTTTTATTTTAAAATTTTATTTTAACTGTGATAAAAAGTGGCTTAACTAATACATTTCCACGTGATGTAACTCACAAGTCCTTTTCGCAACCTTATATTTAAAACTTAAGCACCAAGTTATGATATTCCTCCACTACGCCCGCTCATGAATAGAGATGTTTCAGCTCCTTAAGAACATACTCAACTTGCTAAGGCCGAGCAACTGACAAGAAATGTTATACTTAATTATTGGAACTCCTCTGAATTCATCAATCAGTCAGTTATGTGCCATGCGTGATACATGCTTAGGTGATCATGTATCTTTCGATACATGATTGATGAGGCAGATTTTTTTCCCCGCAGTAGGTTGCCATTTCTTTCTGCGGTAGACCAATTGCCATCCAAGGCTATAAAAACCCGGTTTGTCTTGCTGTTTACCCAAAGCTGGTGGAGAAGATGAGGATTCATACTTTTCCCAAGGATATTAGCACGTAAGTGAATTTAATGGATTCGACTGGAATTCGAACTCGGCTCTCCGATTCCTCAATCCGAGCCGCTATCCATTACTCCACTCCATCTTAATACTTTTAGTCAATTACGATCAGAAGCAATGACAGCCATGCATGGTGTATGTGTTTAAGCGATTGGAATTGTTAACAGGATTATTATTTAATTCTATATCCTCTCCGACTCGTAGATGTCTTTTGGCTGACGAGGAGGATGATCATATCACTGCTCCGGCCCGCAGCTGAGATATCCAGCATCTTCATCAGTACATTAGCTTCTCCAATCAGTGCTGCCACCTGCATACCTCCCAATGATTTCCGGTATCCCACCGCGTCCTGTGAGATAGAAAGATTCCTGGAAATAGTTTCGAGTTCGCCAAACCAAAAGGAGACGACTTGACCTACTGCTTTGTTCATTTATCTGATTTGCCGTATTAAGCTTTTAGTACCTCTGGATTTTCTCCTCCTCCTTCCTTAGGTCGTTTTTATCCTAAGGTACTGCAAAATCTACCAGGATCCATTCATGGCTGCTCTTTTACACATACATGCAATCAGGGCAATTGCTTTCCAAGCGCTTGTCAGTCAAGATGATCATATCCTACATGGGCTTCACTTGCTTATTCTCGACTATTGACGGTGGCGAATTTTCGTACCACTTCTCTGCGCACTCGTGGCCATATTTCCTGCACAGTTCCAAATGTGTTCTGTGGGCTACTACTACTATTATTATTATTATTATTATAACAATTGTAGTTTTAGGCGGAATTCTTGTACCTTGAAAGTCACACAGCATGAAACATTTTATCTGTTATCATTGTATGATCCTAACCAAATTATTTCCATTTATTTTGGGGGGTTCGATAGCAACATTGCATCACAGATTATCAGTTTAAACAAAGGCTGGCACAAGCTTACCGCTTGTGAGTGTTCTGCTGCCAATTTTTAGAAACTCTGATTAGTTTGTTGATTTCCATTCTTCTCCCATATTTTTCTGGAATGGAAGCTATGTCGGTGATTCAAAGGTACACGTTAAGGAAGAAGGAATAGATGTAATGAAACTCACCAAACTGTAGTGCTTGTTAACCTCATTATCCCAATTTTATTTTCATGGGCTTTTCATGAAGGTTATCGGATAGTTTTCTTTGCTTCTCTTTATTTCTCCTTTTGTAAATTTCTCTCTCTCTCTCTCTCTCGGTGTCTCTTGCATTCCCTCTTTTTCACTTGTTTCTCTCTTCTCTGTCTATCTCTCATATATATATATATATCGCTTTCTTTTTATCTCTACCTTTCTCTCTCCTCTCTCTTCTATTTTTTCTTTCTCTCTGCGTGTTTCTCTCGCTTACTATTCGTTTCTCTTGCTATCCTCTTTTGTTCCCCTCTGTATCTCTCTCTCTCTCTCTCTCTCTTTTCTTTTGTACGTTCATTTTTCTCTAAATTCTCGCAATTTCTCACAATTCTTTCCCCACCCCCCACATTCTCTCTTTAACCCTATTAAACGATCAGTTTTTCTCTCAGATTTCCCATGAGAAAAAGGCCTTTCTAAATACGATTAACCCTTATATGACACGGTTAACAACCAGAGCCTATTTAAAACAAATAGCCACATGTTGATTCGTTTAAACAATGCCAATCATTCATCCGTAACTATTTTCCTAAGGGACACAAATGGATACCTACCAAAACATACATTCACTCAATCTCGACCCCCTCTCAGTTGAACTTTTGTCTCCCACACAAGAAACAACACCTTTGTTTTTCAGTTTTGACATTTTAATCAACATTTAAAATGTAGAAATTAATATAAATGCTCTTCTTCTCTGTGACATCCATGAAATGTAAGGCAGAGAAAGTAGCTTTTAATTTCTCTTTTAGTCCAAGAGAAAATAAAAGCAGAAAATAAAATAAAAAATATCAGATGTCATTTAAAAAAATATTTTTAAAAGGTTGTAGCATTAAAATATTGAAACAAACAAGTGAATCTATATATCCATAAAGTTTGAAGTCACACCCATATTTTATTTACTACATTTCCTATAACCGAGCCTTTTAGAATTGCGTTATAAAATTTGAACAATAAAATAAAGTAAAATGTTGGCTGATTCGAATCAAAATAAATGAGTAAGGTTAACTTTCCCTAACTTTTTAATAATTTACATGACACTTCCAAAACAAATAACGAAGTGTATGTCTTGTAAAACTACGAGCAAATGTTCTTTCAACGTTTTTGTCGCTTGTAGAAAAAGAGTTTTATTAAGTTTGACTTTTATTTCTTTCATCTTAATTTTGAGAAATAAAAAAAGAGGAAAGAAAGAATGGCGCCCAGAGAGAGAAAGAGACAGAAAACTACAGGAAGTAGAGTAAGAACGAGAGAGAAAGATAAATTTACTAATTTACAGGATGAGAGATAAGATTTTTTTGTCCGATTATTATTATTATTAAATTTTATCGCTACACACATTTTAACTACTATGCAGATTCCAATGGCATTATACCATTGAAAAATGATGCTGGGAATTTCAGTTATGTATCCAACCAATTATAACCAACCCATGATCTGTTGACTTTTAGTCTCTTCAGGTTTCTGGTTGAAACTTGGAGACAGTTCGGAAAAAACAAGCCAACAGATTCAAAACGTGATAATAATTCATCAACAATATAGGTAACGATAAACACAATAAAT